ATCATGGGATGACCTTCTTTGGATAATGTCCTCCCAAGGGCAGAGTCTTAGAGCTCTTCCCCCTGGACAGTGGTGAGAACACGAACTGCTGGCTGCTTTGTACGTCCCTTTGTCTGGGCTGTGGTCTAGGGGACCCACAGAGACAGGAACCCAGGCAGTTCTTCAATTCCCCTGTAATTGCTTTTCTGCAAAGGCGATATTCTTAAGAGATGGGGGAGTTGTTCTTTCCTCATTGCTCAGGAATCCTGATTACATAGGTGCCATTGAGACCACTGTGCCTACGTCAGGAAATCATGACGTCAGGACTAGAGTGTAGAACCCTCAGCTTCAGTCCCAACCTCGCCATTGGCTCACTGCCTTTTCCGTCATTTACACATCCCCCAGGGCCTTCAAAAATTTGTGGGAAAATGTAATTAAAAGATAATGGGATTTTCCCACAAACTTTTAGAAGTCCCATTGTGTGTGGGTGTGTGATACGTATATAGGTATGCATGTATGTATATATTTGTTGTTGTTGTTAGGCACCATCGAGTTGGTTCTGACCCATAGCAACATTATGAGCAACAGAACGAAAGCCTGCCCAGGCCTGTCGTCCTCACAGTGCTGTCCCCCTGCTGGAGTCCCTCTCGTAACCATGGCGTCGATGCGGTGCATCTCGGTCAGGGCCTTCCTCTGTGCCACTGGCCCTCCAGTTTATCTATCACAAATTTATAAATTGGATTAATGTGTGATAAGTAAATATGATCATGCTTTTATGTTTTGATAGTAATTTCTCTTGTTCATTAAGCCAATCTGATGTTTTTTTCTTCCCAAGAACTTGATTAGACTTGAAGTTAGACTCTTTTTGGTAATATGCATCACTTAATAGAAGTAATTGTTGGCATTTCTTAACCTAAGGAATCTTAGGTTTAAGGTTCTTTGCACCATTACATTTTTTGTATGTTTTATATAATCTGAGAGTATCCTTAAATACTTGAAAACATCTCTGTTATTTCACAGACTCGATCTAGATGAAATTATATTTGAATGTATGTTCATTTTCCTAAGAGCCTCAGCATGTCACTTGGTTCGGGTTGAAACAGGGACCCTGAAATTAAGAAACTAAATTGTAATTCTCTGTTATTCACATGCTGCTTTTCACATAATGTAAGACACTTCAATATGATTTATTGGCAGTATCAAATAGAGAATAACTAACATTTCCAAAACTTTAGGAGAATGATCTATCATACCAGATGATTTTAACTATCGGACTGATACGCTATGGGAGCAGTCAAACCCTGTGAAGGCTTTTCCCTGGAATTAGTTAACTGAGACTATGTTGTCATTCAGGAATAGTTTAGAAGCTGTCCCATGCACAGATAGAGAAATATTATATATATATGCTGACAGTGGTACTTTTCTAAAGAATTAGAAACACTATTGGCACAATTTTTTTAGTTACTTGGATATAATGTTTGAGATTTTCTTAGAGTCTTAAACAAAGAAACAAAATTAATGGGTTGGATCAGGGTAATAGAGTGACTGTATGTTCATCCACCTTTCTTCTCCTCTCTTAAAATATCAGAAAATACATTTAAAAAATGCTTTAGTGATATTAGAAAATTTTGAGCACCGGCCCTCACCACCACAGACGAGAACTGTCACTAAGGAGTTACTGACTGACAGGATACAGAATCACTGGCTCTGAAACCAGACTGCGGAAAGACCCCTGAGCCCAAATCCTGACAGGAGAAGTCATTTCTAATGTCAAAGCAGAACCAGAGCATCTCCACCTCTGAGTGGACAGTAGATGGCCTGGCATGGAGGGGAGGCTTTTAGAACAAACCATAAACTTTTGTTAAAGAACTGCACTTAACGCAGGAGGCCAGTCCTCCCACTTCTGCTTTTATGTAGAGCTCCACACAACCCTCCTTTCTAAGCTAACAGTTCAGAACTCTGTTGTAAAGAAAGGGCACCTGCCTGGATTGGGCAAGTATAAGGTCACATGCACTTGTACCATAGAGATGAAGGTCCCTGGGGAGCTGATCCATTTGTGCTTAGCAATTCAAATCCACTTACCCAGTACTGTTAGCAAAGAAACCCTGCTGTCGACTTCCATAATGACTATAGCCAAGACAGCCTTACTGAGCAGTTGGACTCTAACACATGACCACAGATACAGAAAAAAAAAAAATAAAAAAATGAAAGTAGGTGCTTCGTACATTCTGCCCAAGAGAGACAGAACTGATTCTGCCTCCAGAATGAAGAGCTATCATGGGTTGCATTGTCCCCTACCCCGGCCCCCACCCCCACAAATCACATCTAGCTGGAGTCTCAGACTGGGGCGTTGTTTGGAAGTAGGAGGTTCACTGCTGTAATGAAGTGAAATGCTGTCATACTGAGGGGTATAGAGGAACCTCAACCCGAGGACGTGTCATTGATGAAGAGGAGGAGAAAACAGACACACACACACACACACACAGCTAAGAAGGCAAGGCAGAAATGGATGCAGGGAGTAGAGTGTCTTGGGTTAATTTAGAGTAGTCCCACGGGGTGTACGCAGTTAATGCCCTGGGCTGGCAGTTGAAAGGGTAGAGGTCTGAGTCCACAAGAGTTGCCTTAGAAGAAAGGCTTGGCAGTTTCTTCCAGAGCAGCCAATAAAACCCCTCTGGAAAACCAGTCTCCCTCTCCACTGCACGCCAAGCACATTTCCCCCATGGGTTCTACATTCCACTGTGCCTTTGCTCAATGCTACATTTTCTTCTAAGTGATAGACTCCCGGTAGGTAGACTCTGAATGCCTTTGCAATGTCGCTGCCCTGGATTTAGGAAGCCCTCTGTTATCTGTGAAAGCCTAAACAAGAGTGAAAAGCAAAACACAACGAGAAACCCCATGGAGCTCGATTGCACACTTTGTTCATTGCGGCACTGTTCACAACAGCAACAACAGATGGAAATAACCTAAGTTTCCATCAACGAATGATTAATGAGCAAAATGGGGTTTCTACATACAAGGAAATACCCCATGCCACAAAGACAGAGAAGTTCTGGAAGCATAGTCCAATGTGGACCAACCTGGGGGACACTGTGTGGTCTCTGTATGTATGCGGAGACTAGGAGTCAAGGGGTGGGCATGGGGGAACCATTCTCTGGATAAAAAGTCATTTTTAGGATGAGGGGGGAAAGTAGCATCAAATGTGTTTGATGTATGCAGAGGTTGGCCAGGGTAACTGAGGCCACTAGTTCGTACACAGAAATAGGATCTTGGGTAAATGCTATATTATATATAATTTTGCAAATATCTATTTAAGGCACTCTGGTAGCATAGTTGGTTAGGTATTGAGCTTCTAACTACTAGGTCAGCAGTTTGAACCCATCAGAGAAAGAAAAAGCTGTCTGCTCCCATAACCTTGGAACCCTAAAGGGACTGCTTTGTTCTGTAGCGTGGCTGTGAGTTGGCATTGACAGTGAGTAGGTAGGTAGAGGGATGGTTGGATGGATAGGTAGGTAGGTAGGTATGGTCTGAGGAAGCTTCAAAAATCACATGGAGAAATGGAATAGAAAGATAATGGGATTTTTCCATGAACATTTTAAAGACCCTTCACATTTGTATGTTTTTGGAATCAAGGTTAATTTAAGAATTATTCAAATTCCTAGAGGGCTTCAAAAAGTTTGTCGAGCAGTTTCACAACTCTCACTCATGGTAACTCCATGTATATCAAACTAGAATCCTGCTCCAGCAGGAGAAAAGATACACGGTTTTGATTGTTTGAGGAGAACGTCCACCCGGCACGCATATTCCCATCCAAGGACCCGTGCCCAAGATTCCCTGGTGACTGCCATGCCCCCGGTGTACAGAAACTCTCGCAGTTCCCACTCCACCTGCCCAACCTCCTCCAGCCAGTTTTCCAGCCCTTCCTTGCCTTTTGGTTAAATGTTGATTGTGTTTGGTCTTCTCCATAGTTGATTATTTAAAGGAGTGTATTCCTTACAGGTGTTGGTGTTTATTGTATAAGCCAATCGATTTATGGGCTTCAGTTCCAGGTTAACCCATAAGGTGTCCACTAGCCAAGTTTTTTTAAATGAATCACCAAGCCTTCTGAGGCTCGCATGGGTGGAACCCCCAAACTGTCAGCTATCAGTCGAATGCATTTACCATTTGTACCTACCAGGAATTCACTGCTGTCTTTAGAAAAAGAGAAAGGCCAGACCCCTTGATCGGCTTTGGAGGCCAGAAGTCCGTCACCAGGCAAACCCTGCTCTAGAACATAAGTGCATCTTGGGTGGACAAGCTCTTTCCAGGTATTTGCTGCCGTCTTTTGCTCTGGAGCTGCCTAATTAATGCTGGTCCCCAGCTCAATTTAGCAAACCCCACACTAAAATCTCCTCCTTCCCTTGGGGGTACACCCAGGGCCTCCTAGACCTGAGCGCATGCTACGTGAGGATAGCTGGGAGCTGGGAACGGAGACAGTGGGAGTTCTGTTCATGTTGCCGATCTTGCCAGCATCCCCCGGAACACTGATTGCTTTTGCCAGATAACCTGACCTTCTTTCTCGCATTTTGATTCTGCTAATCTAATCAGTGTCTTTCTTCTTTCCTCGACTCCTCCCTGTCTTCTCTCTCTTTTCACCAAAAGGAAATGTTTATGGAAACCACTCAAACGAAAGGAAACTCTCTACTGCACTTTATTCCTTGTATTTCTTTCACAGCCCCACTCCCGACACGCCTGCCCACTCTTGCAGGAGGATTTTATTGCCTGTGCAAAACAGACACCCTCGCTAATAAACTCTTTCTAAACTAGGAAGTAAAACAATATTCGTGGTGTGAACATAGTGGGTTTCTAAGCATTTTTCATGTTTCCTTCCATTATGTCGGAGGATAAATTCCTGGCTCCAAATTGCAATAATCCCTCCAAGCTAATAGGAAATTCAGTATGACTTCCTCTGTGAAGTGTTGGGTAGAAAGTTAGCTTTCCACGGGCAAAATGGTGATGCATTTTATAAAAACTGTTACTTATGATTAATTTAGTTTAATAAGCTAGGTAAAAGTGGAAGAGGCAAGGATTCTACTTTTGTAATATAATTTGCTAGCATGTAGTATGCAAATGTGTGCACCTCTCTCTCTCTTACACACACACACACACACACACACACACACGCACAGACACTGTAACTTTAATGCTGTCTGTTAGAAGGATGAGATGTAGTTGCTAGCCAGACCATGTTGGTTTGGAAAGAAATTCTTACAGAATTATTAAGCCTTAAAAAAAGCAAAGGATATTTATGCATCTGCATTTGACCAATTTGGTTTGGAACAGGTTCATAATGGAAAAGTAATAAAACCATGAGAGACAGTGTCTTCTGAGCACAGTCTCACTTTAAAAAAATTTAAGCATGGACTACCCATTTTGGATTAAATGACTAGAGGAAAACTTGTATATTTCATCATTGCTACACTGCATCCTGACTGGCTCACGTCCTCCCCGCAGCCATTCTGCAAGGGGATGTCCAATTTCCCACAGATGGGCCCTGGGTCCCCACTCCGCACTCCCCCTCATTCACAATGCTATGATTTATTTATTTATTTGGTCTTTGCTGCCTGATACCTGATCTGTTCGACACCTTGTGCTCTCACAGGTTGGTGTGCTTCTTTCCTGTGGGCTTTGTTGTTTGAGCTAGATGGCCACCTGTTTATCTTCAAGTCTTTAAGACCCCAGACACTATATCTTTTTGACAGCCGGGCACCATCAACTTTCTTCACCACTTTTGAGTATGCACCTGCTTTGTCCTCAGCGATTGAGTCGGGACAGGCTGGTGTGCTTCTTCCATGTGGGATTTGTTGTTTCTCAGTTAGATGGCTGCTTGTTTATCTTCAGGCCCTTAAGACTTCAGATGCTATATATCTTTTGGTAGCCAGCTACCATCAGCTTTCTTTCACCACATTTGCTTGTGCACCCATTGTCTTCAGCGATCATACCAGGAAGGCGAGTATCTCAGACTGCCGAATTGTTAGAACAAAGTGTTCTTGTGTTGAGGGAGTACTTGAGCAGGGGCCCACTGTCCATCTGTTTCCTTAATATTAAACCTATAAATATATGTACATAGATCTATTTCCCCCTTGTCATATATAAATATATTTACATTTGTATATGCCTGTATTTAGTTCTCTGACTACCCTTTGCCTCCTAGTTTTTCCTCTATTTCTTTGTACTTTCCTCTTGTCCCACTATCATGTTCAGCCTTCATTTGGGTTTTAGGAATTCCTCTCAGTTACATTGCCCTTGATCCAGCCCTGCCAGACCTCTTCCTCCCTCCTTGCCATTGATTTTGGATCACTTGTTGTTCCCTTGTTCCTTGGTTTATTAACACCCACTTCCTTTCCCCTGCCTGCCCTTCTCCCATGTCCCCCGGAACTGTCATCCCGTTGTTCTCTCTTCTGGCTTGTTTATCCTGCCTATCCCTTCCAGGTAGACATGCTATGTACCATCACAAGACTGAGTACAACGAAGCAACAATAGAAAGTAAAACACTAGCTACAACAACACACACACAAAAAAACCCTATAAATAGTTCAGGGTCTATTTGTTGTCCTTCATGAGTGCTTTCTAGTCAAGTCTGATGGGGTGCCATGTCCTGGTCCCGCATCCATCCCTGGGGGCTTCATTGCTCTGCTCCCTGCGCTGCTCTGCTACATGCCCCCAGTGGCGACTTCAGCGTAGTGAGCTCACAGCGGGCACAATTCCCGCCGTGTGTCTCTAGTGTTGTCCCCAATGGTGCTATGGGTCAATGAGGAACACTGTGACCCATGGTGGGGCCGGCCCTGTGGGCATCTCTGTGCATTGCTGTTGTGAGCAGAAACATTGTCCTCAGGGCTTGGTGAGCCAGGATGTGCTTCTGTTTGTTTTTGTTTGTTTGTTTTTGTTTTCCCTTTCCCCCCTCCTAGGCTCCTGTGTGCTCTGATCAGACAAGTCCCTCTTGAGCTGTAGCTTCAGTGCTATCCTCTGAAGTGAATTCTTCTTGGGGGGAAGGTGGTGATGTCCACTTAGTTGATAATGGAGCTGGCCCCTTTTTCATTGATTATTAACCGTAAGCTTTCTGTCAACTATTCTTTGAAAAGGATGGCAGCCTTTGGAAGGAGGAATCCTAAAGTATTATCTGTGGGAGTCTTCTCCTGGGAGCCTGTGTTTGTCTGTTGGAACTGGAGAGGCAGGGCTTGTGTGTGTTCTTTTGGTGGGTGCCGTGTGGGAGAGGAGGTTCGGTTCTTCCCCTGGTCGCTGGCAGCTGCAGAAAGGCCGAAGGAAACGCTCAACAAGCATCACCTCAGAAACATTGGCCCTGATAACTTAGCGAGTGTCTGATTTCAACAGGAAATGGGGGCTGGGGTTGGACTTCTCCATTTACCCTCAACTCCTTGCAGCAATGTTTTTGTGGTTAAGTGTCACTGAGCTGATCCAACCCCATGCAGACAGCATAGGCGATGCTGGGTCGGTGTTGCACAACTAACCACGGGTCAGTGCCTCAGAAACCACAGGTAGGGGAGCCATGAAGCTGAAGGAGTTGATGCTTGGTTTTGAAAGGCCGCTCCCCAGGCCTAACCCCCGTTGGAGATGGTCAGTGGGTGTGCGCTGCCAGGACTCCCTCTGCAGGAATGACCCGGATACAAATTTTCTGAAGACTTTTGAAAAGACATAGGCATTACAAAGGAAGGGCAGGTGGTTGGGGTAAGGGTTACTGAATGTGTGTAAGTGTCCCTGCAGGCAAAACACTTCTAGCTGTTCCTCCAGTAGGACAGAGAAATAGGCATTTTGTTTCATTTGACTCTTACCTTTTTTTTTTTTTTTCACGACCAGCAGTTCACAGCACAGATATTTTTATATAGTGAGTGTGTGACCGGACTGAGATGATACTGTGTCTTTCCTGCAGGTATGCCTGCGGCATCTTTAGTGACCCCTGCTGATGTTATCAAGACGAGATTACAGGTGGCTGCCCGGGCTGGCCAGACCACTTACAGCGGCGTTATAGACTGCTTCAGAAAGATCCTGCGGGAGGAAGGCCCCAAAGCTTTGTGGAAAGGGGCTGCTGGTATGGAAATAATCCGTTCTTAACTAACCATTTGGGGTCCAATATATATATATATATGTGTGTGTGTGTGTATATATATATATATATATTTTTTTTTTTTTCAGAATTTAATTGTATTTGTTATCTCTCCCTTTTCCCTCCCAAAGCCCGGGTATTTCGATCCTCGCCACAGTTTGGTGTAACTTTGCTGACTTACGAATTGTTACAGCAGTGGTTCTACATTGATTTTGGAGGAGTGTAAGTATCTTGCTAAATCTGGATTTCTGCGGCTACTGATACCCCACTCTAATGGAGACAGCACATCAATCTAGTTCATGTGATAACATAGAAAAGACTTAGGAAAATAGTGGAATCCTATTAACAAGTACATTTCAGAGTAAAACGTGCATGTGTTTAAAATTGAGCCATGCCTTATTTCATTTAACAGTTTGGGAAAGTTGGATTTTGTTTTTTGGTTGATATCTCATATATATATAAAATGAAACTATATGAAACAGAGTTTTACTCAATATCTGCTTCCTTTAGAAAACCCATGGGAACTGAGCCAGTGCCTAAATCAAGGATCACACTGCCTGCTCCAAATCCTGACCACGTCGGGGGCTACAGATTGGCAGTGGCAACTTTTGCAGGGATAGAAAACAAATTTGGACTCTATCTACCTCTCTACAAGCCCTCGGTGTCTACCTCAAAAGTGGCCGGCGGAAGCCCATAGTCGGAGCAGCCCTAGGATGCAGCCCGAAGCGTTGTGACAAGAGTGGGGAAAAGACCCCGCGGATTGAAGCAGCACCCCATCCCTTTCCCTTCCAGCCCCTGTGGAAATGCCAGCCGAGGCTTTTTATAAAGTGGAATCGTTCATTGTCTGTGTGTTTTTCTTAGCGGATCATTGTGAAATCATTAAGCATTGTTCTTTGAGTCTTAGCCTTGGATCTGACCTGTATCGGATTTCATCCACACGGCATCATTTGAGGAGAGGAGCGAATAGGGCACAAAGGGGATGAGTGTCCCACAGAGGCCCCTGCAAGGCAATGACCGAGCCCAGAGGCAAGGATCCGGTCAGGTTTAAATGGGTAGTAAGCTGGGCGCAACTTTATAAAAGTAGAAAACACTAGGAGAAATGAAAAAAAAAAAAATAGAACCAGCCTGGCTTCAAATGTTAAACATACACAAATTCAGTCTCTGGATTACATTATGAAGCTTTTACGTGAAACATGTTTTGTTTTTTTGGTGGGGGGGTGCGTAATGAAAACCACATTGAAGATGTGTAGTAGTCACATTCTGTTACCGGCTACTAGGGGAAAGCCGTGGTGCTTTAGAAACATGCGTTGGGCATTTTATCCTATAGACACAGAAACCAAGGGATGTGGCCCCTGTGGATGTGTTTGTGAAAGCTGGGTAGCTATCCGTGTGATGGACAGATGTTAATTATGACCTACTTCAGTAGTCACTGGAAGATGCATGCACCCTACGGCCCTGTGGCTGCCCTAATCCTCCCTCCCTGTAAGTAGCACCCATTTGCTATTAAGATCTACCTTGAATCATGTTAAGACGCAACTATATTTTAATGTGAGCTTTCATTTAATTTGTGGTGCCTTGCAGAATGCTCAGAGGTATATGTGCTTGTGAAAGTAGAAATAAACTATTTTTAAACTCTTTCAGTGTGCTGTCGTCCATGCCACGTGGTGAACGACTATACTAATTCTTGTAATTGGAAGCCCTGCTTTTAGGTTTGGTTTGTTTAAGTGGGTTTTACTCCCACTGGCCTGGATGTGCCGGCTCATGATCTTCCAAGGAAAGGCGTGCCCTTCTTTTCAGTATAGTGTGTTCAGAGAGAGGGAGAGGAAAACTACATTTAACCTGCAGTACCAGAAAGCTTCCGGGAGAGGTAGGTATGGAAACAGGTATGAAGTGGGCATGGTACATATTTTCTCCCCTTCTCCCCTGCTCATACTAAAACCATATGCCATTTGTACCCTGGCATATGCGAATATTCGGCCAGCATTATGACTATTCAGAAAAATAAGCTCATCTCGAACAGAATTAAGGACTCTCAGACTGCAGTTACACTCCCAAAGATGCTATTGACCCCTCTTGTTGCTAGTCAGTATGAATAAACATTGAAGGAGACCACCATAAGGAGAGAAAGAGTGTTGCTGTAGACAGGGCGGCCCTGAAAGTCATCACCTGGGACTGGGTAGAGGCAGGGTCATCCACAGATCTCTGGGTTTGGGTTTTTGTTATTTCTTGTTTAAGTGAGTAAAACGTTTGTTCTCAGCAGAATTAGATGATTACTTGCCTGGCTTCTTTCAGGAATGTTTGACAAAACCAACCTCGAAGCCCCATTGGGCCCACTCAGGTGTGAAATGACAATTGGATTCGGACAAGCGACAGCAGCCACTAGCTACAAACCAACCGATTTCCCTCAAAATCCAGAGTCACAAATCTGTCTTTAAAACTGGATGGTGTTACACTACCAAAGCATTCCCGCTTCGGTCTTGTGGGAAAGGAGAGAAATCACCGAGGGTGTATCTGCCTCCTTTCCTTCATGGGCTGGGAACTTTATAGAAGATTCATTTTCCTTCGTAAAAAAAAAAAGTTGACCCACATCTCATACCCGGTGTGTTGCCCTGGTGCTGCTGCTGCGAGAACTGTTGATTTGATGGGAGCGTGCCTTGGCTTCGGCTCTCTGTGTCAGTAGCTGGGAGTGATTCTCTTCAGTATTTCAGAGAGAAAGGGTCTCAGAAGCCAGTGGAGGAAGGGCCACATGTCTGTGTTTCTTTAAAATCCTTGGCTGCCTCTGCTCAGGGGTAGGCAGCGACTTGAGGCCGTTTGAGGAGGTCTAGTTTCCTTCTGAGTTCTGCGCGGTGGGTGGCAGGCCTGTGACATCCCTGACTAGGACTGCCATCGCCGCATGGTGAAAACCATGCAAAATTTGTTCCGGGTTTTCCTTCTTCCTGCAGTGACAGCACACCACTTCATCAGCGGTGAGGCTGCCGTTTCCGCATCCAGCTGTTTCCCTCCTTCACACCAAGGACGGGTAACCCCCACCGGCCTGCGTGCCCACTCAAGGGGACCAGCACCACCCCCAGGGCCTTGGTCCACCTCCTGAGGTGTGTGTGTGTGTGTAGGGGAGGAGGGGGATATGGCCTGACTTTAGTAGTTTTTTGGTGGTTTTTTTTTCCCTTTCCAAGGAGGGGAAAATATGTGAAGCAGACCACAAAGGGAACACACGGATTCCTGGGTTCCCGTCGTGGCTGGGTTTCTTGAGGCTGGGTGGCACGCTGTTGCCAAGCTCATGCTGCACCTCATAACCCACAACCATTTGCGGAGCTCCCTGGGGTCGCCTTAATCCCAGCAGCCAGGGTTGCACAGGGGAACATAAGAATTCTGGCACAGAAAGGAGTCATTTAAATGCTTATTGCATTTCAAGCTTCAGTTTTTACTTAACTAAAATATTTACCATTGCTGGAAAACCATGTTTAAAATTTTGTGCTTATATGTTGTTTAATGGTGTGGCCGCTGTAAACCTCAGGATGCTTACATTTTGACAGTCTTCTGGAAATGTTTAGCAGCACATAACTCCGAGTGGGGAAGAAAAACGGGAACAAATTGTGCTTGAAGCTGTTTGGAGGCTACTTGGACTAGGTAACCCACAAGTCACCTTGGAATCCTTCAGGTAAGTGGAGGGAGGGGAGTCTCCGCTGGTGCCGGTTCATGATCTCTTGTGGCCCCCTTATAGCCCTGCCAGGTAAACTTCCCCCCAAAGCTCTCTCCGTCTTTTCGCCACAGAAGCCATGCTGGTGGGGATAATTTGTATCCTTGCCACTGAGCAAAATCTCTTTAAATGCAGGGTAATCCGATGCTTTCAGGATGTGGATTTTTCCAAAGACTTCTAAAAGGCACGTTCCCTGGTCAGGGCAATGAGATGTTCCCTCCACAAATGGTTCTTCCCACAAAAGGGCTGTGCCTTTTGTTTTTTCTCTTGGGAATGATCCACTCTTCTCCTTCGATGCTGCAAAGCCCACAAAGCGTTCGCTGCTAAAAGTGAAACCATTGTCCCCTCCTTTGGTCAGGGCAGCCTTTCACTGACAGTCTTGTCTGGGTTTCATTAAGGTAGAGAGTGTGTCTTCGATCCTTGTTTGTTTTGTTTTCTGGTGGATGATGGGTATAGGCAAAATAGATGAATGAATGGGTGTACGGATTATGAGAAATGATTTTTTCCCACCCTAAGTAATCTCCATTATTTTCCCACTTTACAAGTGCTGTTATTAAGTCCATGACTCTAGAGCCGGAGAAGCCCAGCCTTATTTATTGATCAGTTACTTCAGAGGCTGTAAATCTCTTAAAGCAAATACAGGTCTTTAAAATCAGTTTCAGTGAATTGGTAACTTTGAGCCAGGGCGGTCATATGTAACTAAACACATTTCCATTTCCTGCGCCCTGCTCAAGTCAGGCTTTTAAAAAAGTCATGTTAGAGATGAATGTTACATCAAGCTTGAGAAGTATCACAAAATAAATGACTCACTCACTCACAGCTCAATGTCCCTGCACATCTCCTCCAGCTGCTTATGTGCACCTCGAGCCTGGAGCCCGGCGGCCAGCGGGACCTCTCAGAAGGGTTTGTTTTCAGCAAATGTATTAATTGACTCCAAAGAAGAGCCTAAATGGAACCTGCTTTCATCTGCTGGGCTAACCTCATAAAATAATGTTGTTTATTTTTAGATTCCCGGCTGGTAAGGGGGTTTTGATTAAGGCAAAACCACAGTCCCCTCAAAGAACTTTAGACGGAAAGTTAAGAAGACACACTTAGTGGTACTTGTCTGAAGTGTGCTCCTCCTGGGTCACAGACACCCCCCCAAGCCCACTGGTTCCGCTGCCTAGGCTCCACTGCCCCCGGCTCCTCTCATTCTAGTGCACCCACCTCCACGGGGATGCTCGCTTTGGGGACAGACAGTGCTTAAGCTAATTTTCAAATGGACTCTGGTTCCCTCGAAAGACTTGTGCAAGCATGCTATAGTCTGTTTTACAAGGTGGAGAAAGGTCTATATACTCAGAATAGCATGCAAGAAAGCCAATTAAAATGTTCTTCCTTATCTCCCATCATTCCCCTCCACCATCCTTAGTCAATTCTCCCAGCTCGTACGCTGGTCCATTAATGGGCGGTTTTCAAATGAGAGAAGAGTGCATAATTCTCTCCACACGAAGATGGTCTTTTGTTAGTAAGGATTCAATAAATATGAGCTATTAGAAATGCCAGACATGGTCTCATTAAATCCTTCCCATAACCTTAATGGATCATGGTACTTTAAGATAGTATTCTATTCCTTGTATTTCAAACAAGGAAAAAGAAATGCAGGTTAAATGTCTTGACCAATGTGTCTCAGCTACTAAATGAAGGCACACGGTTTCAAATCCAGGGGTATGGACAACGTAAATGCTCTTTGCTCTGTGCAGGAGCTGTGGACTGAATTCAGTACAGAAAGTTTCTTATGTTGGCCCAGAATTTTGAATGACTCCTGAACATAGCAGTTGAGGCCGCAGTCTCGTTGCTTCCTAGATAGGCAGTGCATTTGCTATCGCAGAGGATTCCAGAGCCTGAGGACCTGGTGACTCCTGACAAGCCTTTAGACCAGAGGTTCCTCTTAGAGTCAGTAAGGAGTAGGTTAGGTAAAGTTGAAGCATTTGCCTGACAGGTTTGAAATTGGAAGGTAATGGGGGGAAAGCAAAGGTAAATTTACAAACTGGCACAGTGCGAGGCAATGTGATGCAAAGGGGGAACCGATTACAAGAATCTAAGTATTATCTCTTCCCTGGGGGATGGGCAGGAGAGAAGAGGGCGGAGGGAGACATCGGACAGTGTAACTTATGACAAAACTATAATAATTTATGAATTATGAAGGGTTCATGGGGGGGGGAGAGCAACTGATATTAAGGGCTAAAGTAGAGGGCAAATGTTTTGAGAATGATGATGGCAACAAATGTACATATGTGCTTGACACAATGGATGGATGTATGGATTGTGATAAGAATTGTACGAGTCCCCAATAAAATAATTTTTAAAAAATCTCTACTATAATTAGAAAATGCCCATCCTCAACCAAAGTTGGAGATAACCAAATTGAAAGTAACCATCTATGGGTACTTGTCCTTCTGGGTAGAATGGAGATAGTTTACAAATTAAACGAGAGCGTTGCTGAAATGAATCTTGGGCCAGAGATCTCCATTGCCGCTAGGGGCGGGAAAGCCTGACTTGATTCCCCACAAGTTTCCTGCAACCCCGAAAGTGAATGGAGAGCCGCAGGTTGCCCAATAGGAAAGGTAAGCACTAGCATCCTTACTCGATAGTGAACAAGTTCACGAGCTCGCACTGCATCATTGATGGTGTGGTGCACAAGTAAGCAAGAGGTTACCTTGCTTGTTGGGTAACCTGACACGACTCCTACTGCGTGTGTCAACATTAAAGCAGATTGCTGACTGATCCACCCCAAATTGACAACATATTCTTCCTGAGCAAAAGAGAATAAAAGATTGAAATGCCGCATTCCCATTTCTTTCTCAAAAAGACGATTTTTTTTCCAACTGTGAACTGCCATTTGGAAGTAGACTTTACCAACATAAGCTATGTGGCTAGATATATGCGTTATCAATTTGAG